TTTTTTCGGTTTATTCCCCATTATTTAACATGTCTCTTTAAGAACCTTTCCAGGAACTGAATATCAATAAAAAAAATACTGAATCGGTGACGTCATTAAGTGATTCGTTTTTATTACATAGATAAAACATTCAAGCAATCTAAACGTGTGATATATCACACCCATAATATATATCATTACACTAACTAAACTAGACTTCTGATCCAACAATTTTATATATAACCTCTATTTGAATATGAATATAGTTCAATATCAAGATTATTATTTTATGCCCATGTCCATGCTCGTCGATCTTACACGCCACACCTTCGCGGCCTTGCCGACGATATACCCTTCTATAGCAGTAGAATGAAAAAATTATGTATGAATAACTAATCAGATCATGAAGTCGACATGAACACGAAGTTTTAATGTTTCTTTTGATCATTAGAAATATATGACGACAAATGAAGCGTATTCTAGTTGCTTATTAGCACTAACTGTCGTATCTATAGTCGAAAGAAGTAAATACTTGAGAATATGATTACATAATTTATTTTATTTTTTATTTTTAGAGACATCAAACAGTCGTACATTAAGTCTAATTAAAATAAGGTAATGTGTTAGCAAATGTACAACTCACACCAATGGACTGAAAATAATACATAATATATTTTAGCAAATAACAAGTGCGTAAGTATACTCGTATATTAAAACCAAAAAACAATCGTTCATTCCATAATGTATTAAGGAGATTTCTGTGTGAGAATATCAAATGCCATTTTCTTAAACTTTTGAGAGTTTCAATAACAGTAAGCGTCTTTTTATAAAAGGAGAACTTTACGACCATATTTAAACTATTATCCGACCAAAAGAAGACAACACGTCTTCATTTATTTCTATTCTGTCATTGTCAATTTTCTTTAGGCCTTTAGACGGTTAATGTACAATACTAACTTCGGTCCTCCTTTATTATTGTAATACAGAAAGGGTCGGCGCAAATCTGGCTGAAGATCTGTCAATACATTAGTACTAGACGAAGCATCTCTTCTTTTTTATGGCTTTGGCCTGAATCCAGTATTTCGCTCAATTTATTTAATATTTTTTAGATTCAGCTTTTTGTATTTTGTGTAGTAAAAGCCCAAATTTAATTTTGAGAGTGTTATCTGGAAGAAACGTACACAACATATATATTAGAACAAATATCAGTAAATTATATGACAAACAAATCATAGACGTATGTACATATTTTAAAATAGTTTTATAAAATTTGTGGGTTTGGGTCTATATGAGAGAATAACGTCATACAGGCAAGAGGGGTCTTTAGGACAATTTAAAAAAATATAAGCATAGTACCTTCGTCCAACCCGCATTCACAAAGTGAGCTGTCTTTGATCCAATTTTTGCTAAGAAAATGGGAATTTACGTGCCCTAACCGAAGACGACAGATGATAGTAGATGTGTGGCATGACTTAGATGCGTTTTTAAACTTACAAAATCATCAATCATCCATCGAGTGTACAAAGTCGAATGTTATGTTACATTTTTTTGGTCTGACGTTGCGCAACCTTTAAGCTTCTTCACACTTCACATATAACGTTGTAGCTGATTTGTAAAATTACACTACTAAATAACTAGTAGTATGTATTATATAAAAAAATATAGTTTTTAGCAACTGTTATTTTGAATTGAGGCTTTATCAACAATTCTACATATACATACATGACAATGTCAACCATATCAAATTCGCTATCGAAACCTTAACCAATAACAAGCTCGTTTAAGACACTAACATAATAGTGCCTGAACCGGTCAGAAAGGCGAATACAGCTTACGTACGTGGAACCTAACTCTCTAGGTCATAGCTAAAAGGTCGTGGAAAAATAATCCTGTATATAATAGAAGTTTACAAAGTGTAATAAATTAAAACGACTCTTATGAATAATTTAACATTATTTGTCTAACTCCTACTATTACAGCGGATTTTTGTTATTATTAAAAAATAGGTCTTCTACATTTAATATATTTTTTATTTTTAATCGTAGTTCAATAAGAATAGATAGATACTTCGCAATTAGCTCCTTTATAATTTTCCTATTAATTTATTCTTGTACTTTTTTAATTATATTTAAAATAAAAACTTTTGTACATTTTTCATATTACACCACAATATTATTGATTCTTTTATGAAATCAGATACCATCTCGAAGTACCTGAGCTACCTCTGGCTGGTGGATTTTTAATTTTTTTTATTAAACACACTTATCAGTATAGCATTGTGAATGCACAATTTATCAAATACAATAATAATATTACATTTAAATCTATTACTTACTTCGATTTGTTAAAAGCTGGGTATAAATTAGATAGATAAATTATTGTTAGTAAGAAAGTGTTACATACATTAAAAGATTGCAATATTGAACTTAAAATCGCGTTATTTTTCATTATTTCCTTCTGTACAGTCTTCATAACAAATAATACAAAAATGTCTATTTATTCTCCATATCGTTTTCGTTCATAATTGAGAAGGAGACTAAATAAATTCATTCGAAATTAAGGATAATTTTGTTCGAATTGAATGAAATAAAGATGCTATTTATTTATTTTTTATCTATTGCTATTGCTTTATTACTTTCAATTAAGAAATCAAAAACGTATACTGTAAGCTATATTTTAGGAACTCACTTATATAAAGTATCAAAAGACCAGATAATATTCGCTTTATATCTTACAATGTGTATTCATAGTGCTTTGAACATTTCAATACGCGTTGAACTCTTTTGTATGGAGCGTCTTGTGTATCGTGTGTGTTGCTCAATGGAAGCAGTCACTTTATGATTTACGGTCGTAAAAACTAACATTCGTTTGAGCTAACAGTTTGTTTATTGTCATTAATAACTTTCTACAGTATTTTTGTGTGTTAAATGGCGTGTGGCAGTTTTAAAAACTAAAGTGCATAAGAAAATTCGTGTATTATTGTAATACACGAATAGTAAAATTTGTAGTAATTGAGAATTTGTATATATTTGGTAGATTTTTTAGATATTATTTATGTATAAAAAATTAAAAGACTATCAAACTAAAGCTTTGATTTTTACATATTAAATGCGTTTCTTATATTGCATTTGTTTTTTTTTAATAGAGTCTTAGAAGGGTCTGTTTTTATCATTGTCACTAACGTACAAACGGCTGCATGCTAGGTTTACACAGTACATGAAATTTCCGCAGTTGATTGTGACATCTACCCTCAATATATTAACTCTGAGGTTTAAAATCAAGAGATCAAAATTTTACAGTTTTATATAACCTGGTTTGAAACACTTATAGTTTAATAAATTTTGTAATTCGAATTAATTAATATTATCATGTTCATATCTCAATAAATTAACTGTCCTATTAATTCTATACTTAGAGAATTATTGGCAAACTTAAATTTTTTTTTTTTCCAGATATAACCCTAAGGGAAACGATACAGACCACCTGTTTACCGATATCTCAGTTTAACAGCGATTATTGAATAGCATTTAAGAGCGCTTTATAAGATCTTTTATTCGACTGTATAATATTCATGAAAATGAGCATGGATAATATGACACATCGTCTTACAATGCTCAAACTACACCGTGAAGAGCCGGAATATCGCGACAAGGGAATGTGCGCGGGCGCCAAGGACAACACGCTCCAAAGAACATACAGCAACAGAGGCGACACTAGCCTTTTAATTTTTGCAAGCTTATAATAACATTAATACAGGACGATTCATTCAATCCTTATAAAAAAAATCCTATTACTAATTTGCAATACCTAATTGTGCCCTGTGGATTTATTTACTAATGCTTCATGGATTTAATCAATGATGGGTGAATGGGTAAGGTCTACAGTTAAGTAAATATCATTTTAGTGGTATTTTTTTCATTCACATTGTTACTCATTTATTGTCACTTATTTATTTCAGTAAATTATTTGAAAATAATCAAACAATGTCAACGACCCGTCAGATTAGTATTAAAAATTAATGAAGATATAATAGTATATTATTTTTATAAATATATTAGTGCTTATTACTTCATTCAAATTCTATGTCAGACCCTCCAGAAGTGCTCGATAATATTTTGTATTTATTTTAAATATTTCAAATTAAAATTAATACAGTCTAGATTGTACATAATCTTTGTTCGGTACTGACGAGCGTAAATATGCGTTTCTCTACAAAAGGTCATCGGCATTCATTGCATTTTTATCATTGATTTTTGCATGCCTATTTTTATTTCAACTTTCGAAATACTACCGAAACAATAAAAAATAGCTTTAAAGATATTTTAATGGAAAGACTAATTTTATGTTAGTAAAACCACTTAATAATTTTATTCAAAAATTAAGACGTTCTAATGAGAAGCCTTTTGGTGTTTATTGCTTTCGTTATTCTATGGAAACGGCCAAGGGGTAACATCTTTGCAGCCTACCCCAATAAGTTTAATTATCCCGACGCTGAGTAATTGCATTTTACACCAATATTGGTTAACTTACTCGTTAAGACATAAATAAATTTTTTATATCTTTAATTAATATCATATACATACCTTATAAATTAAATTGTATATATTGTAGTAAGAATAAGTTAAGTATTTTAATTATACGTATGTTTTACGAATTTAATACGTTTGGATGTTATAAATAACTCCAAAACATTCTTACTTTTACCCGTCTTCTGTTTACGTTCAGCAAATATGTTGTGCCGTAATTTTGCATAATCAGAGAAATCACCGTAAAACTAATCGAGTGAAAATTTGAATCGGAATACTCGATTATGGACAGATTAAATTAAACCAGTCTGTTACTCAACGAATCCGGATTCGCAAAACTTTCGTCAGCCTTGAGGAAAAGTAATTTAATTTTGTGCTATTACGTATAATATGCAATATTTTAATAGTTCCACTTCTAAAGAACTTCAACATAACGATGACTTTCTTAAGGAATGCAGACAAAAATAGTTACAGAATAATAATAGTTTCACTTACCATTTTCAAAAGTGTATTGAAAATATTCCTTCCTCTGGAAACTCCCATTTTATAAATAAATCATTAAATAAACAAAGTATACTTTAACAGTCTATTTAGTCGATCACAACGATTATCACATTATTCACAACACTATTTAAGTATATTTTTTAATCGATACACTTTATAAAAGATTCACAAGCCGATATTCACGCGTGAAAAAAAGTTCAAAAATTGAATAGCGTTCGAAGTTCAAATCTCGGTCGTTTCGGCGGGAAACGTCGATTCGCGCTTACTGCGCGCCACAGACTGCTAAGATGGCGGGCTTTTTTTGACGGTTCACACGAGCCGATTCACTTTCTACGACCTTACGTTGTTGTATGCGACTAGTAATTAAGCATACAGTTTACGTAACCTCTACGATGTAACCCGGGCTTTAATTTCCGTATTATTTTCATTATTTTTACAGAATTTTCGGGGACACATAAAGATTACAAGATAGAGTTTGCGTTTGAAACTATCAACATAGCAGTTACATTATTTCTAGTTCCCACGTTCATTTTATATGCATTTCGTATTCAACTATTTTATATGTCGAAACGATAGTGCCGCTAAAATTGCATTGAAATTGTCACTGCATAAGCAAGTAAAATCTTAATCTTAGTAAAATATCGTCACTCTAATAATTCAAACATGGTCAATTTTAATTTACTACTAGAGGCCGTCAGTTCAAAACTTAATCAATAGGGGCGAAGACATTTTTTTAAATTTCTTATTTATTTTACATGACGTATATCTAAAAAAGTATCATTCATATAATAAGTTAAAATCTAAAAATAAATTTAATTCTCAAAATCTCTCACGACAACGCCACTTGTCATAGCGACGCTATATAGTATGATGTATAAGATTGAATTCTCTAAGTTATAAGAGGAGCGTGACGTCACGCGCTGTTTGCGGTCACGTGATAACGAATATAAAATATTTGTTTTTTTTTTTAAACAATATTATAAATATAAATTTAATTATCGGTAATAGTATATTAAACACTACCAGAAATAAATTATATGTAAATTTCGTTTACTGTCTACCCGTATTTGTACCCGTATTGTATGACCCAAACCACCCTATTCGTATTTTCATATTTTAGTAATCGTGGGTTAACGCTCGTATAATATCCATGTTTTAAGAATTTTACATATTAATATAAATCTTTTTCTCACGCAATATATGCATAAATGTGTATAAGAATACTATGGTGATTATACTATTTTTATCTGGGTGACTTTGATGACGTTAAAAACATAAAATAAGAAATAATATTAAAAAAGGAAAAATGTGTGTGTTCATTGAATATGTAGATGATAATAGGAAAGGAGCTAATAATTTAAAAATATTAGACAAACAAAATCACGTTCCCAAATTACGTAACTAAAACAGTTGTATTATAAAAATCTTTGTCACGAAGCTAACACAAACGCCCGGATTTGAACCATTATAATTCAGTTTTTACATTGACGTCATCAATAAACCACGGAAGTTGACGTCACCAATAAAATGAAACGACTTCAATGTATACTTATGTCGCAGCCAAGTGGCGCCATTCAATTAAAGTCGCTCAATTGGTCGACTGATTGTAATAATAATAACCCCTCTCTCTTTGGCCACCGAGCAATGGATGGCGAGAACCAGCAGTACTTAGCACCATTGACCGAGAGGCCGTTTGGAGGGAGAAGGAGTTCCACGGTAGGTTCTACAAGGCGCTACACGAGCGTCACATGGATCCGAGAGCCTCCGTGCATTGGCTGCGCTTCGGAGACCTCTTTGGGGAAACCGAAGGTTTTGTCTGTGCAATACAGGACCAGGGCATTATGACCCGGAACTACCGGAAGTATATCCTGAAGGATAGGACAGAGGACGTTTGTAGAGCCTGTCACCATCCCGATGAGTCACTCAGGCATATTACTTCCGGTTGTCCTGTACTGGCTAATACCAAGTATTTGCACAGACATGACCACACCACCAGCCCTTTTACGTCCCCACTACAGGGGCTCAGGCCTTCCTTATGGAAGGTTAAGGAGCTAGACATGACCAAGCAGCCAAAATACTCCATCTCGAGCTAGCCTTCAAATACGGCCTCATACGCGAAAAGGTGCCGTACTATAAGTATGTGCCGGAGCCAGTTCTTAAAAGCGACCGCACTCGATTGTATTGGGACCGGTCCATCATTACGGACAGGACTGTTCCTGCGAACAAGCCTGATATCGTACTGATGGACCGGGCGGAATCTCGGGTGTTCTTAGTGGACGTCACCGTCCCATTCGATGAAAACTTCGTGAAATCCGAATCAGATAAAAAACTTAAATATCTGAACCTGGCGCACGAGGTTACCGATATGTGGCGAGTGTCATCCACTGAGATCATCCCAGTCGTAGTGTCAACGAATGGCCTAGTCCCGACTTCTCTTCACGACCATCTGAAGAGGTTGGGACTCCGTGACGGACCAATGATTGCGAGGCTCCAGCGGGCGATCTTGCTCGATAACGCAAGGATCGTCCGCCGTTTTCTCTCTTTGTCGCCCTGACCCTCGACCGTCTGGCCTCCTCTGCCGGGGGGAATCCTCCCACCCCTCGAATCGTCGAGGGGTCGGGAAGAGTAAATTTTGTACTAAATAATAATAACATACTTTATTACACACACAAGACGAATAACAAATTACACAGCTTGCGAATAAAAAACAAAAGTATACAAATAGGCGGCCTTATTACTACATAGCAATATCTTCCAGGCAACCTATGTAGGAAAATAGATAAATAATATGGGATAATGGGTGCAACATGTACAAGAAAGAACAGATATATCTTAAATAAGGAATATTAAGGAAGTACATTGTACGAATTGGCTGCGACATATACATGGTAATTCTTTGTATCAATAGTACTTATATGTATACATAGTACTTCGATGCATCCATAGTATTCTATGTATACATAGAAGTACTATGTTGTCTTCAGGTATATCAGGTAATATTGCTGTTCGTTGGTCTCGCTAAAACTTACGAACGGTGGGGTCGATTTAGCTGATTTTAGTTTTGGAAATGTTTGTCGTCGTCCGTGAAAAGCTTAAACGATGAAAGGTAATTACGAAGAATGGGACATCTAGTTTTAAATGAAATCAAGAAGCAACATTTTATATTTATGAGTTGTAGTGTCGGTATGAGTAGCCCAAAGTTGGATAGTATTTTTCATGCAATGAATTTAAATATCTTCCATATATACTCGCTCTTGGTCTCTTGGCCACCAATCATAGACAAATTTGTTCTATTCAGATATGTAATTTACCCAAGAGTTAGAAAGCTTAATGCGGTACGATCATGTTATAAGAATAACTGAGTGTAAATACATTCTTGACAGTTGGAAATGACTCTCAAATACTTTAAAATGTAAACGGTCAGTTAAATTAAAAAAAATACTTCCTATGAAACTAAACAAGACCACGTGAGTTTATATATAAATATAAAAGTCACATAAGTACTGACATTACTCAGATCCCAAACTAAGTAGCGATGCCATTTTTGAATTCCGTACCCAAAGGGTAAACTCGGGACCGTATTATTAAGACTCCGCTATCTTTTTAGTGAACCAACTATACATGAATCGTAATAACTAGACAGCAGAAAAAACATGAAAGAATAAACAAAACAAATAACAATTAAAAGTACGTTATCAATATAAACACTTACAGGAAGGGAGATAATTTTTTCTTCTTCCACCAATCCCACTCACTGAGTACATAGCGCGAGGCCAACCTCTCTCAGCGGTATACTAAAAACAGGATAAAATAAATATATTTTTTCCGTTTCTTTGTGCGTTAGTCCTGCTCGCACTACACTTTTATGGAAATCTAAAATAACAAAAGTATTAAGACCACACACAAAAGATCTTTTTCAATGCAGTTGCTCATAAGGCGCTATTTTTTTAATCCATTGTAAACACCGAAAGTGAGTCTTTAAACACGTGTTAAATAAAAATATACTGAAATCCTTTACTGCACACGTGCTTAAAAGTATTTTTTTTTTTACCAAAGAAATTTAAAAAAATACATGAAAATATGTCAAACTTTAGAGGCAAAAGTATTTCAAGGAGCCTAGGACGAATATTTTTAAATAAAAATGTAGGACACGAAAACATGTTCAAATATCACGTTTAATTTTAACAAATAATTTTTCCTGTAATAGATACTTAGTTTTATTAACCTATATATTTGTTTTATTTCCTCGCAAAAAGCATTGAAAAATGTTGTAAAACCTTACTTTCCGCACTCGTATCTTAAATAACTATTTCTATATTAAGAAGTTGGTTCTGAATCGAATCCGAGACATAAGAGAGTCGGCTGCGGAGGTCATGAAATATTATAATACTTCTAATAGATGATTAACATATTGCATAATGGTTGATTGTACACAGCAACAAATCAAGTTACTCCAAACTTAATAATCAACTTTCAACTTAATTACATATACAGGAAGGCTGAAATTTAATTGAATTTTGATATTTTGTAGTAATCAGTGCTGTGTAGCTATACCTACTAATGTATTCTTTTCCGAATTAGAGTGCAAACCTTCAGGATATCAGGTTGTCAGCTTAGGCGCGGAGCGTCGTGATTGGTGCGGCGCGGCAGTCGTGCGGCATTCCAGCGCCTGCGCCGAACACTTTTTGTCAACCGCTCACGTATGATCTAGGACATGTTGAAGGCTGCCTGTGCAAGCACGTGCGGTACTAATACTTCATTTATAAATATACAAGCTAACCTCCCGCTGATACGCCCGTATAGAATTCGGTTGCAAAATTTCATGTTTTTGTGTTCGACGATGACAACATACCCTCATTAAACACCTTTAAAAACTTTCCTTTCCGAAATCCCACTTTTTTTGTGTATCCAATTTCATTAAAATTCCTTAGGTAGTTTAGACGTGAAAACGTAACATACATATACAGACACAATTACTTTTGCATTTAGACAACATTGCCGAATACTACTCGCTACTCTTCGCGACTAACCTCCTTTAGAATCTATTTATAAATTATCTTTTTTCTTCTGTCTTTATATTATATGAAAATTACTCTGAAGCTTTTACATGGAACACGCACAGGTTTTATAAGGCACTTTCTTCCTCTTACTGAGCAAAATGACATAAAGGACAGTGAACAGCTCTTTTCTGTTACTTCATTAATGTTTGTATATTCTTTTCTTTTCCTCTTTCAAAAAAGTATAAGTTTCGTTAACAATATCGCGCTCACACATTGATTTCAAG